TAAATATGACACACATTAAACAGCTTTAGACTGACAGAAAAAACAATGGAAAAGTTGTAATTTGCTCGCTGCTCTTTGCTCGAGCAGGTGTAACTTTGTCATTAGTTGTTATATTACGTGCTTGTGGATCCAAAAAGGTGTCTATATAGTGCTTATGCCTCACAGCAAGAAGATCCTGGGTTTGATTCCACCGCCGGGCCTTTCTGTGTGGAGTTTGCATGTTCTCCCCGTGTTTACTTAGGTTGTCTTCGGGTGCTCCGGTTTCCCCTACCACTAAAAACATGTACAATACCACCATTTCTGTGAGTGAGAGACACTGGTCTGTGAAAGGTGATATAATAAAGATTACTTACTTACTTTATCTAAATTGCACATTTCTCCATTGTGGGATCAAAAAAGTTTATCTTATCTTATCTAAAGCTCCAAAATATGCCATAAACTCTAAACATGGGAGCTACCAGTACCTCATAACCGCCCTTCAGATAGCTCCTCCTTGTCAATTCGCCAACACAGATCAGAGAATCAAACACAGGAAACGCAATATTAGCAGGAGCCACTGGTCCAGGGTGGATCAATGTCCATATAAGTTTTTTCTAAATGGACATTAATTCTGCCATTTATTTTGTGTAAAAATAACTCCTATGGAAAAAGGTTGGAGATCCCTGTTCTAATCTGTCCACTTATTGTACAAAATACAACTCAGCTAAACCCTAATAGAAGTCCTCCCTGTGACCACTGAGCCATGGGACATTTATGAACTTTATAAATGGTCGGAATGTGACAAGAAAAAAAGAGTTTATACAATGTTTAGTGAAGTGAAGCTCAACTGCAGCCAACTCTGTCCTCGTTTAAAGGTGAAACTCACTTCTGCGCTTCTGCAATATTCAGCGGTATTTAACCTTTTAGTATCCAATGTTAATGCTGTTACCGCTGAGGGGAAAGATCACTTCATAAAGTAAAAGTACATTGCACCGATAATTCAATTAAAGCTTTAAACTTTGATTTACGATAAGAATATTCTCCAGTATAATATACGTTTTTGTACAGTGTTAATATTTGTTTGATTCCAGTTCAATCAATACCATCAACTATAAACTAAAAACTTCCCTTTATAAATAAACTACAATTCTTACACATTATGAAACAAAACTAATGTCTAGATCCACAGTAAAAGTGAAAAACCACCAATTTCCATCTCGTTTCATTATTGATGAAAACGCTCTTGCCTAAACATCAAATCTTGTTACATTCTTACAAGACTTTTCATTTAAAAGGATGAAACATTGAAATCCCTGCGATAAAATATACATGATTGTGTCACAGTAATGCACCAGCAGAAGCCATTGGATCACAGGCAGGTGTGGGATGTTCTGGTTCTGTATAAAGACACGCAGCATATACAGGTGTAGTGTTATTTATAGACCGTAGATGTGATCAAAGTGGCACTACAGCTCCGCACATGTCGCGAGTCCTTTACATATACTGTACACAATGTCTTGCGGCAGCTGTCAGGTGGTGCAGGGAACGAGAATTAAGCCAGATATGGGTTTAAAATTTCCCGGTTAATACTTTTTATCAACAAACTGATGCTGGTGATTCCCCTTTTCTCTGCTCTGATTGACTTTTTCTCTCTTGCTCTCTCTATATCTTGTTCCAAAATGGTTCCTTCTTCAGAGGCCCCTTCTGTATAAAAGCTCCTGTCTCAGTTCAGTTATAGTATGATGTCATTGGACCACCATGACATTACACTCAGAGCAGTTTTAATCCTGATAATACATCTTTATCTGTACAGCGCTGTTTACAAAGCACTGCACAGTCAATCATAATAATCAATAAAAACTGTCATGATAATGCAAAGTAAAAAATAATAACAGTAGATCCAGGAAGACAAAGCAGACGGAGGAAAAACAAGAAGAAAGACAAAGACAAAGTCATTTCAATGGACACAAATAATGCATCATATTTATTCATTAATGAGATTTATAGAAGGCAGGGACTATACTCTATTTTCTGAGTTTTAAATCAAAAGTATTGCCAATAATTTCGTTTTTTAATTAGTTAATTTCTCAGATGGAATTGCTTTCTTTACTCCAATCACAATATCTGTTTGTAACCGGTGATTTAGCTGGTGGCAGCAAAGGGAAAGTATAACCCCTCACACTTGCTTAACCATATATTTACTGGAGATAATATTTCACATTCGAAGACTAGAAATGACAAAGTAAATCGTCTCCCTATCATTCTTCATGAACACAAATAATGCATCATATTTCTTCATTAATGGGATTTATAGAAGGACTGTACATGTTTTACACAAGACTGTAGCTTTTATGTTGTTGGCTATATTTAAACGCCATGAAAACTAATAAGTTTTGCTGATAAATTTAACCTGGCAGAATTTTTTGGTCAGTATATGTATGAGATTATTTGCCCACTCATGCGTTGTGGTTTGGTAACACTATTTATTGTCAATCACCTTCAAACCTGTGTGTGCAGCTCCAGCCATCAGAGTATGCAGACTTATTTTCTCTATAATTGCTTTTTGTCTAATAATCGATATTCTCTCAACAATGTCCATGAGAGAATAGCTGATAAATGTCTATTTGGGGTCAATATCAATGCAAACGGAAAGAAATTAGACACAAAAAATATATTTGTGGAGCAGGGCTGTGATTTGAATGTGAAACCTTTACAGTGTTGTTGCGTTTGATCCACACATGAAGTTAAATCTCTTCCCCCTCAGTTTTGGACTCTTTGTGCTGAGTTGTGAGCGTGTGGGAGGGTCTTTGTGGATCTCCAGGCTTCAGCCCCTCTCCTCTCCTCTCCAGAAACACCAGGAAAACAGCATCGCCGAGAGGGAACGGATCAAAAATAGCTCAGTAGGCAATAGCTGACTCATAAGACATAGCTTGGAGTTCGAGAGCCATCCACTTCTGCGGCATACACGAAAAATCAAGCTGTTGGGTAACGCAACGCACAGGGAAAAAAGCCATATTGCCGATTACAGTGGACGACTCTATGCCCTGTTGGTGCGGCTGGTTAAGGAGACGTCGGTGGCATGAAAAGGTGCGATTTATCATTGGTGACAGTCTCGCTGACACTGTGCCCAGATGAGGGGGGAGGGGTCGGGTCGGGTTGGGGGGGGGAGGCCAAGGGCAAGCTGGCTGTGAATGGTCAGCCACACGCACCACACGCACCACGCTCATTCATCTCAGCCCACCGAGAACGTGAGATGTCAGAGCTCATGTTTATTTAAAGACAGAGAGATTCCGGGTTCGCGTACGTGCAAAGGGTAGCGTATGTTTTTTTTTTTTGGCTCATGAGAATTAAGCAAGAGAGATAAAAGATGGACATTGGTCTCTCCCCATGGACCAATACATACAGTGTGTGTTCTATATTTTTTGTGTCTAAACTGTTGATTCTCTGAGCTATGTTGGTGACTTCAATGGTTTTGTGAAGTCTCTGAGATGAGTAGTGATTTAGGGCTATACAAGAATAAATGGTATTGTATTGTATAAGACAGATACCATGTGACTGGCTACACTGGTTAAACTGTGCCCTATTTTCCTGCATAACACCTGCAAAAAGCTGTTTAAGGACCCTTTGGTGAAGTAACACATGTCTGGACACTTTGTGCAGCTGAGGCCCTGCAGTTTTGGCCTCTGACTACGTAATTGCTATAATTAGTGGGAACAATCTCCGCACAGAAAAAGATTAATCTCGACCTACATTATCTTTGGTAAATAACATTAAAGAGGCTATCGCTGGTGTCCGGAGGTTTGCTCTTTTGAGGAGAGCTGTAACTAAAAGATGATTTTTATTCTTGATTTATTGATGTTTTTATATTCGGAAGACAGAAATTCGAACAATTGCATGTGATTTAGTGATATTTGAGCTAAAATGTGACTAAGCGGTTGAAATAAAAGCATGAGTCATAAAAGGTTTGAAGTACAGTCAGTGAAACGGATGCAGAGGGAGATCTAAATTCCAGTAGCGCTGTGTGCCGCATAATCAAATTATTATTTTATCACTTAAGTGACAAAAGCTGTGCCAGAAGTCGTTGCTTTCCGCTAAATAAATGCGTATTAAGGACAAATAGGGCAACAATAAAACAACCTTGTGAGAAAGTATTTTTATGTTAATTGGGCTCTTCTCTTGCCTCACGATTCAAGAGGGAATTTTATGGTTTAATAAAGATCTGTTTTGTTTGACTTTGAGCACAGAAAATGATAGACAGTATAATTCTTAGTCAATCATAGAAGTGACTGCACTGGTCTTATGTCGCCCCCCCATCAGTATGTTCAAGGTTTACTGTTATATAATGAAGTATATCCTGTATGTCGGTCTAAGTCAGTGATTCCTAAACCTTTTCTGCTAGGCCCCCCTTTGCTTATTTTAAGTATTTATGGATGTAACCCTAACCCAATAAAAATCAAGACGGACAAACAACAGAAATATACGCATAACAAAAAAATATAAAGCAAGAACAGAAGGGACTAACAAACACACCAAAAGAACAGACAAAACAAAGGATTTTTCACATTCACACAAAATTAAAAAAGTCTAATTTTGGTTCTTTTCTTTTTCTGTTTCAGCTGGGCTCAACTGGCTTGTGGTGTGCCCCAGGGGTCCGTGCTAGGACCTAAATTATTGAATGTGTATATAAATTAAATTTGTATGTATCTCGAGTATTAGAACTTATTCCTTTTATTTATTTATTTTTTATGCATGTTAGCAATATTTTTTTTTTGTGGGAAACTATGATGGACCTTATGCCTTATCTGAAATACCTGAGATGAATAAATAAACAAACAAACAACATCCAGCCCCAGCTTTAGACCCCACCTTGTACTTTCCCTTTGCCAGAGACTCTGTGACCTTTTGACTCGATGCAGAACAACTCTCCCATGTAAGAAAGTTGTGTGTCCTCTGCTTTATTGTACACTGAATAATGGATGTGTGTCTGTCTGTGTGCTGGTCCCAGGTTGATGCTGTGAGCCATGCAGTCTCTGTTCGGCGGGGGCGAGCTGGAGCTGCTGGGGGGCGGCGGAGGGGGAGACGTGAAGGACGACTGCGGCTCCGTCATGTGGCGCTCCTCGTCCGTGTCCAACGATGACGTGTATTCCGCCTCCCACTTCACCCTGATCTCGGCCTATCAGGACATCAAGGCGCGGCTGGCCTGTCTGGAGCGGGAGAACAGCAGCGTCAAGAGGAAACTCAAGATTTATGAGATCAAGGTGAGAAAGGACTTTTAATATCATGTCCTAGATCGATAAAGTGCTTACAGGTATCAGTGAATGCATACGGTTTTATTAGTTTCCATCTGATAAAGCAAGGCAAGTTTAATTTATACAGCACAATTCATCCACAAGGCGATTCAAAGTGCTGAACAAAACAAGGTAGAAACAGTCACACAAGGCATTAGAATCATAAATAATGAATAAAAAAGTTGAAGATAAAAATCCTTCAGTTGTCTGCACAGCTACTGTAAACAGAACTTTGACCTGGATTTGAACATTGTCAGAGAAGAAGCCAGTCTCACATTTTCAGGAAGACTGTTCCCGATTCTAGCTGCATGAATCTGAAATGCAGCTTCCCCATGTTTAGTTCTTACTCTGGGCACCAGCAGGAGGCCAGTCCCAGTCCCCTTTCAGTATAAGGGCAGATGCCAATAGACCTCTATAAGAAAGAAGCAATGTTATTGAGACATTAAGAAAAAGAGTAAAAAATCTCAAATGTTTTCACAGTTAATAATTCGACAGTGATTAGATCAACAAACCCTGGCCAACATCATGCACATGTTTTTTAATATTGTCACCACATCTTGACACCTTAATGAGAAAATAATGAGACTTTTTGATAGAGTTCGTACTCACAAAGAAGACAATACGTTTTATGTGAATTGACTCAGAACACTTTCCACAGTTACCAGAAAAGGTTTTTCAGCTCCCTGACAACACAGTGCTAAACAATAGGCTCTTTGAAATATTGTGATGTCACGTGAATGCAATTTATTGTCCAAATGAGCCATTTTTGAAGAGATCAAAAGCCAGTCCTCCATCTAAAGCATGTGGCTTTGAGTTCTTGCTTTTTTTCTCTTCTATTTGGTGAGAACATCCGCCTTGTTTAAACTTTATACTCTATCACATAAGCCCTATATAAGATTTGTTTTTATTAATCGAACCTCTCGGTAAAATCTGGGAAACACACTAGAAACTCATCAAAAAAAAGGCTTATTAAATGTAATTTGGTCTCTAAATGTATTATGACTTCATTTTGTCTTCATTATTTCCTCTACGTCTCGTGGTTTTGTTATAAAATATGTTGAAATCTAGCCTATTCTGTTAATGTATCGAGTTTTATCTGGCTGGACATTTTTGCCGAGTGAATGACCCTCCCGTGTAATGGCTCATAACAATCTGTGGAGTCTATTTCGGGCGGTGCAAACGGCCTGAGTGCGTTTCAAGCTATGAGACTGTACACAAAGATATAAACACAAGGAGGTCTGGCCGCTTTGATCCTGCATAAGGACATTATTTATGTAGAAACTCATCTGCATTTTAACAAAAGTAAGAACCACATCACACAGGCTTCATAGAACGGAGAATAATGAAGGCTAAAACTGCCTTACATAATCAGTTTTCACAACACAGAAAAGTAACCATTCTTGTGCTATCTGATAAAAACATATCTTCCTGTCTGCATGTTTCCACAGTATCTATCATTCATGCCTTCCATTGAATTATTTATCAAATACTGTAGAATTATTTTTGAGATAGAATTAAAGCTGAAGAACATGAACACAACATGTGATCCAAAAAAGGCAAGGCAAGGCAAGGCAAGTTTATTTATATAGCACAATTCATACACAAGGCAATTCAAAGTGCTGAACAAAACAAGAGAGCATTAAAATCATAAATAATCACAGAACATTAAAAAGAAAGATAAAAATATAAAATCCCTCAGTTGTATGCACAGCTAAACAGAACTGTCTTTAACCTGGTTTTAAACATTGTCATTGAGGAGGCCTGTCTCACATCTTCAGGAAGACTGTTCCAGATTTTAGCAGCATGAATCTGAAAAGCTGCCTCCCCATGTTTAGTTCTGACTCTGGGCACTAACAGGAGTCCAGTCCCTGTGCTCCTCAGAGTCCCAGCAGGAGTCCAGTCCCTGTGCTCCTCAGAGTCCGGGCTGGTTCATATGGGACTAACATGTCACTAATATATTTTGGTGCGAGGCCATGGAGAGACTTGTACACAAGCAGAGCTGTTTTAAAGTCTATTCTCTGAGCCACAGGAAGCCAGTGCAGAGACCTGAGAACTGGACTAATGTGGTCATACTTCCTGGTTCTAGTCAGGACTCTAGCTGCTGCATTTTGAATGTACTGCAGCTGTTTTACCGTAAGCTGAACAGTCCAGTGTCCATGATAAATACACTGTGAATTTTGTTAAAATGCAGATGAGTTTCTACATAAATAATGTCCTTATGCAGGATCAAAGCGGCCAGACCTCCTTGTGTTTATAAAAAAAATGTTTTTTGTAGGAAAAATTAGGCTCTCCGCTTTAATCTGTAAAAGACAGCATGTTTTTACTTTTTACCATTGTTGAGCAATCTGTCATAGAATATATTATATACAGTTTAATCCTAAACATAGGTCTCACTCAAATTTGAACCGGGGTCGTCGCAGTGTAAGCGCTGCATCTTAACCACTAGACCACTATGGCATGATAATCTTTTTCAATCCAGGCAGGGATTTTAACTTTTAATGAAGAATGTGGCAAGTTTTGCATCAGAGGAGAAGTTTTTATCCGCCAACTCGTCACTGCAGGTAGCTGTAGCCTGTACAAGTCGACTGCTTGTGTCAAATCAGTCGGCCCTCGGAAGCCCCCTGCCGGTTTGGGAGCCCCAGGCAGCTGCCTGCCTTGCCTAATGGCAAGGGACGCCTCTGGGTAAGGTGCAGGTTATTGTCCTCAGTCCTCTACATTTGATCCATACTTCTTAAGCACGAGCGACCTTTGTGACCAGGAGCTCGTAGCTGCAGGATATTGGTGCATACTTTGTGGATTATTTTTGCTAAACAGGACTGCTCCAATGTTAAGAGTTACTAATCACTTTTGTACACACACACACACACAAACCCTTGATAAATATTTACCTCTTACTAATGCTAATCGGGGAAAATGAAGCGCCTGGAAGAAACCCTTCCAGACACAAGGAGCAAACATGCTGCCTTTTACTGCAATAAGAAGTCCTTTATTGAAGCAAGACAGAGCCACATGTTTGAAGCCGGTCTGTGTCTCAGGAGTTTACTGTTTACTCGTACTGTCTGTGGAATAGTACATTATGGCATTTGTGCTTGTTCTGTATCGTTCACTTATTATCTTAAACATGAAAGGTTTGAACTAGAATCAACTGGTAGAGTGAGGCCTCAAATGTATAAGCGGATAGTCAATTTTTTAAAGCTTATTTTCCTTCAAAACGATGATCAGATGAGTTCTTCTAAACATTGCACTTGCTCTAGTATCACTGTGAAAGTTTCTGCTCGGCTGGAGAGGCTCGAATGCGGTGATCAACCCATTTTTAGATGGATTACTGAACTGGTGAAGCAGAAAAGCACCACGCAGCAACAGGGAAACACGATGAGAGCCCATTACACACACATGCACCAGCACACAGCCTGGGGGCATGAGATTACAGAGCAGACAATGTGCGAGACTGAAGGAGAGATTTTAGACAAAGGGCAGATTAGCAAAAATGTATGCTTCTCTCTAACTGCCTTCAAAGTGCATTATAAAACTTGTGCAGAAAGTAGTTCACGTTTTGCACCAAACACTACAATCCTTAGTTTCCACTGTCAGGACTCGCCCAATGTTCATTTGTTGTTTACATCTGCTTAAATGCTGTGGTACATGTTGGGGACAGTCATTTCATGCAGACATTTGGCTCTAATGGAAAACTGTTGTTGTTTTCATTGATTGACTTCCGCTCTGAGCGCCCCCTGCTGGGCCTTTGTTGTGATTGACATTCACAATGACATACGTGGGGAATCACAAATCAACACAAAAGTTTCAGAAGAAAATTGACTTTATGGACAAATATTCAATGCTGATCAGTTGAGTTATTATTTCATATATCATGAGTGTCATATTTTCTAACTGTAAACTGTATGAACAATAATATAGAGCTGAAATTGCACTAGTAAAAACAACTGTGCCTTTTTCTTCCCAACAAATATAAAAGAACAGCTACCAATAGCTTGTGCGTGGCTACAGAGAACACAATGTTTCAGAATGATAAAAGCCTGTCAGACTCTGTGGTTTTGGAGGAAAACTAGCAAACGTGAACCAAGGAGATGCAAGCTGTTGCAGCATTATGGTCCACATGGAATACAGAGAAGCTTTAGTTACGTAAGAGCCTGAAGAGGAAAGGTTTGACTGTTTTTAAGATTAAAAACAGACAGGACTGTTTAGCATTGCACATCGTACACATTAGAGTGGCCATGACTTGGTGGAAAAGTTACAATTGGACGTTTAAGCTTAGATGGATAGCATGGATTGTAGAAGGAGTGGATGTTACCTATAATGTTTGCCTACTGTGGCCCGGAAGAAGCTGATTGATGCTTGCTCAAACAGGCTATTTGCACGAGAATCTGGGGCAAATTGTATGAAAAACTTTGGTTAGCGACAAGTGAGCAACCATGAGCCAATGAGTGTGTCCGGTCTGTCCCCGCTCAGGCTGTTTGCTCGCTGTAGCCGAATTTAGGGACAGAAGGCTTCTGATTGGCCAGTTGTATCTGGCTTGACAAAGACAATACATAGTTCCCACAGACCAATGAATGTCACATGACCTCCTCGGAGACGCCATCTTTGATGGCACGCTGCTGTGTTTGTGCATTCCATTAAACAGAAGAATGAGAATAAATGTAGATATTCAAATGCAAATTGGAAAAAAAGGGCAACTTTTGAGCAAATAATTGTATATTAATACAATGGCACCACAGTTTAACGTGCTACGGACATGTTTTACATATTTGATCAAATTATGCAGCAAAAATTAACAAGCAATGCAAACATTTCTCAAAAACTTTAGATTTAATACCAGTTGGAGCTCCATTTAATTATTTTAATTATATTAACAATTAATTTAATTAATGCTAATGCCACACGGACACTCTGGATTGCTGTTATTGTTTATTTCCGCGTTTTTGACCGTATGTTTTGGTGAATGGTGGGCAACT